CAACCCACCAAACAAGTATAACTCTCCCTCCTCTGAGCCTCACAGTGTTTTGTTAGTGCCTCTTTATGATGGTGCCCATTCTTCAATATAAATACAAAGTCCATTCTCTCAATTAGATTAAAACTCCTTCAGGGCAGGCACTTCATCATTTATCTTCATATCCCTCCACCTCAAACACAAGGCAGGCCAGCCCTTTTAAATCACTTATTAAATGGGCAGTGATTCAGTAATGTAAATATACTAAAACTGCAGTGGGCTTTGGTTTCCAGACACTTTATGGCAGTTATCCCTTGATGATTAGTCATCCCCACAGTACTAAACAATATACACTAATGGTCTCCCTATTAAGGAATATTCTAAGACATTTTAAAAAGGCACAAAATTTAAAATAAGAAAAAAATGAAGCAAATGAAGAAAAAATACAACTTACTCTGATACAGCTGAAACAGCAAAGCTTGGAGCAATGAGGACACAGGCGAGCATCTCGCAACTTCTCCATACAAATGAAACATCGGAAAACCTCAGCAATGCTCTGAAAATAATAAAAGATGTAAAGTCCACCAGATTAGACTACTGAATCAAGAGTAAATGCATGCTTAAAGTAATTCACTCGACAACATCTTAGTCATATCAGGACTTGCTTAGTCAGGCCCAGGGTATCCAAGAACATCTAAGCTTCACAATGTTTCTATTCTAAGGAAAGGATATGAAATGCAAACACACAGATTTTCGCACATATATTTTCACTGAAGTGTTAATTATGATGGCAAGAGTCTGGCTAGCCCAAATGTCCAAATATTAATTAAATTACCACAGTTAACACAAATTATGATAGTTACTGCAAATATCTCTTGAATTATTTAATGATATAGAGGGGGGGAAAGCCTGATTTTAACGATAAGAAAAAAGGGCAAACTCTATGCTTAAAGGAACAATATGAACTTTTTACTTTTTCTGCAATTTCCCTAAGGGGGGGGTGAGCTGTTTTTATAATTTTTAAAAAGTTTTAAAAAGAGATATATTCTAATAGCAGTGTACTTTGATCAAGAAAGAAACGAACTCAGAATCCAGAAATCCAAACTTCTGCCCTGACACTGCAACCAAGTAGCTACTTCTTTGAGCGTGAGATTCTGCTGCTATAGAGATTTTTGGTGGCCGCTCTACCAATATTTTAGGAAGAAAAAAAGATCATATAAATAGAAGAAACAGTACTTTCTCTGCATGAAGCCTCCTATGCATTAATTTAGGAAGTAACTGACAAGAAAACATATAATTAAATATAGGTTCTTAAATATTTTAAGTTTATTATTACAGTACTCACATTTTATTTTTACTTCATTGCAGGAGAATTAAACTCTCCTAAAATCAAGGTAAAGTTATTGAACCTTTAAAATACCTTCACGTGAAGAATTACGAAGAAAATTACTCAAGTCTAATCATGATGCTGCAGAGCCAGAAAGAACCTGTTAGGTGCAGACATGGAGGGGGGCGAGGTGGGGGTGGACAGTAAGACCACTGGGTGGACTAATTTCAAGTGGAGTGCCCTGTACCATCGCTGCCCTTACTAAAAAGCAAAGACCTATTTAATATTTGGGAGGTCCAAAATTAGACATTATACAATTATGTCCAATAATTGTCCTATTTTTAATGTCTCTAGCCTTTATGAAATACCCCAATCATTTAAAATCACAGCTTACAAGTGTCAGATATAATAAAAAAAAATCGGTTGTTCTGGCAAACTACAGCCCAGTTAAGACAGTAAGAATATATAACCTCATTCACAGGAAGGGCAAAAGTCTACAAAATGTACCGCTGGGAGGAATGATTATCCACTCGGAGGGAGATCTGGATCCGCACAGGAACTCGCAAGAACTGGTAGGGCAGGTCCATCTAATGAATTTGCAGTTTTGCTGTGCACAGGCTGTAGTTCGCAAAAACCCTGTGGGGACTGAGTACCCGTGGAGACAACCTGAAAACGCCAGGATACGCACTACCTGACTGCGAGAACAGTCGGAGCACAGGGACCAGAGGGCTGCAGGGGCAGCACGGCGTGCTTCGCACCTGGCCAGCCCTCTCCACAGCGCAGCGGCGGAGTAGGGTGCTCTAACAGAGACAGGACTAGGGAAAGGCTACCCCATTAAAGAGCACTCAGCGGGGGGCCGAGAGGGTAGTAACCACCAACCTCCGCAAGCCCCCCTCACCTCCACACTCTGTTCATCCATTGCCTCCGAATCCCGGCGGGGCCCTCGGCGACCCACGGAGTCCGTGGTCTGACCTAGTAGGTGACGGCCCGAGGTCGTCAATTCAAATTGCCGCGGAGAACCCGGCGCCCACGTTAGGAGGTTCCAACGACCGCCCCAATAGCGCGCCCCATCGCTTCAGCGCCAGCTACCCCCACTTCGCCATTTTTATCCGCGTGCCCGCCCTAGGGCGCAGTGTGAGGGCGAGCGGTGGCCGCAGCTCCTTCCTCCTCCCCGTTCAGCCGCCGGCAGGGGACCACGAGTTAGCTTTGGCCCACGTGACGGGAGCCTGCGGGCGCGCGCGTATCGAACCGCTGCAGAAACACCGCGGTGCTGGTCTCCAGCAAAGAAGTCGCTGCAGGGAATTCACAAACACCAACGGTAACCAGGACAGCTGGAGGCGCGGTGCGCATGCGCGCAGCACTAGGGGAGCGGGGCGGAGAGGCGGGCACCTAGTTCCCGCGGGGCGGGGGCGCACACGAGATTTGGAGGTTTGCTACTGCAGGTTGCGTTACTTCGACTCCAGTCTGCAAACGGGCAGCCGAGAGCGTAGCGATTGGGAGTGCCCTGCCCCTTGTGTTAAGGGCGGTGCCCCACCCATCTCAAATTTGCGCGCCAAACAGCGGAGTCACCTGGGATTCTTGTGGGAAACACAAAGTCCAGAGCACTCCCTTAGGTATTCGGTCTCCGTGATTCTAGAGGCTTGGGCCACACCAAATCCGCGTTTTTAACAACCACTCGGCAATTTTGGCAGCAAGTGGCTTATGGCCAGCACTTTGTGAAACCGTGGTGCAGAGGTTTCCTGGCTCGTGGTTATTTTCTCTGGGAGGAAGCCCAGAATCTCAGGTTGTAAGGCTTCCGCCCCGCCTATCGAAGCTAAGCTCCGGACTGAAGCCTAGAGCGGTGTAGTTTCTATTTTTGGGGGTGGTTCAACAAGACCACAGATTGTGTAGACGTAAGACCCACACCGTGTAGCCTGCATTTTTTGCCGCTTGAGTTGGTACACTGTCGCCATGAGACTGTACCAAATGGGTATCAGCTGTAGCTAGCTGTATTGCGACTGCTTTCTACAATTTTCTAGCATAGATGTTTATTGCAGGAATTGAAGGTGTGAGACTAGGACGTGCATCAAATTGTTATCTTTCCGTGTATAATGTGTACTTTTGCCCTAACTTTTGAGGGGAAAAAATAATGCATAATACTGTTATGCATACACAGTACTAATTATATATTTATATAAATGTTTATTTTTATTCTTATGCATTAAAAGTGTATGTCTAGAAAACACTAACGATATCTGTACACAAAATAATACCCTGGAATATGACAATCAGTTTTGTTTCTAAATATAAATTGAAAGATTTTCCTGAAAGTTTGGATCAAAAACGTGGGTGCGTATTTTATGTATAGGAGCACATTATACACAGCAAAATATGGTAATTCGAATTTAATTTTTTTATTTCTGGTTTGTTCACAAACAGCTGTTACACTTAGCCCGTGTAAGTGTACACTAGAATGCACGTGATCAACAATAACCGTGAAAGTTCTTGAATTTCAAAGCATTAATTTTTCAAAAGATTTTATTAATTCATTTTCAGAGTGAGGGGAAGGGAAAAAGAGAGGAAGAGAAACTTCCACAGGCTGCCTCTTGACCACCCCCAGCCGGGAACCTGGCCCAATACCTAGGCAAGAGCCCTGACCAGAATCTGAACCAGCGACCTTCCGGTTCGGGGAACAACACCCAAGTCACTGAGCCACGCGTCAGGTAGCATTTGGACTTTCTTATAAGTAGTGGGCAAAAACAAGTTCTTGTAAAATTACGTGAGCAATGGACAAAGATATTTTAGGAAGATTAAGCTGTGACTGAAAAATTCTTTTGCAAAAATTATGTACAGAAACATACTTAATATCAATTGCCTGAGTACTGAATAAAATTAGTATCTGTTACAAAGGTGTGACTTATTTTTCTGTAATTTTTTTAAAAGGCACTTTTTGTTCTTGAAATGTTTAAACAAGACAGGACAACTTTAACTCTCCCAACCCTGTTTTCTCAGCTATTGTAAGTTGGTCAATGGATAAATACATTCTCATAATAAATTTTTTAATTTATGTTAAAGTGTAAGTCTATAACCTGCAGACCCAACATTTGATGCATTTTCCTAGTTCTTTCATTGCCTCATTTTTATTCCATATATAGAAAGATCACTTATCCTTCATTTTTATCTTTCAAAACCCAACACCATCTCATTGTGCTTCCAACCATCCAAGCACATAAAAGTTAAGTGATTTGCTCAGGGTCACACATCTGGAATTTAAACCTGCTATTTTCATCTCAAATAGGATGTCAAAGCCCAGTCTTCAAGACTGCAGGATCTTCTTCCCCTTTCCCATTCAGCATTTCCCAGAACTTTAACAGCAATAATTTATAGACAACTCTGACCTCTTACTGCATAGATACACTATGATTTACTTTCTTATTTGCCTGCTATTAGCCAGATGTGTGTATTGCTATTATAAATACCTGTGATTAACATTTGTATCAAGATCTATCCCTACTATGGACAATTGCCTTGTCAAGTTATTTTAAAAGATAAGGAGCCCTGACTGGTGTTGTTTGGGCATCATTCTTCAATGAGAAGGGAGGCCACTTCAAATCCTGGTCAGGGTACATGTCTGGGTTGTGGGTTCAGTCTCTGGTGAGGGCATGTGCAGGAGGCAACCAATTGATGCCCCCCCCCAATAAATAAATAAATAAGGAAATACATACACACAAAACTGGCAAGTAGGAGTCGCCAGGGCTCTTATGATTTCATTTCTTAGCTTTCACATAAAATGAACAATTACAGTAATACAGGCTAAAGGAGAACAAAGGTCATATTGAAATACAATAGGAATAGCCTAAAAGAGCATTTGAAAGCAGAACTCATGCTGCTCAACATTAGCAAACAGAAGGAACAGGACAAAAATAAAAGTAAGACTCTCAAAGAAAAACTAGCTTACTACAAAAGTTAGGTTTTATGGGAGACTAGGTCACATAGCAGTCTCACTGATAATGAGACCACATCTTCAATCAAATTTTTCAAAAATAAATTCTATAATATACATAATATAGAACAATGCAAATATTTTCTATCTTTTAAATCATGCTTATTCATATTTGACTGACTGATAGTACATAAACATTCCTTATGATAGGCCAGAACATCGGTGTTACCCTGATTATACAAAAACAGAAGCAATATAGCATTAACACTTTCCTGCATGAAATTGCAAAACTAAGTGTGTGTTCATACATATATTGTTTAAATCTCTTTATTCCTATTCCATCCTTTTGGCTGAAATTTAATATCTGCCCTTCTTAGGCAGATATTAATCTTAAGAGAAGAGATTCCCTTCTCTTGTGAAAGGGATCAGTTTCTAGTCACCCAGGCCAACTCTTCTCCTTCACCATACCCCCCACCTCTGGTGACCAAGTGTTAACAAGACACCTTCCTAAATCTCTCTGGAATTGATCTCTTCTCTATTAGAGTTCCCCTCTGCAAGTCCATTCTTCATAAGTCAGACGTGAGATTTTAATTGTTGTACTGCGGTTTTCTCTTCTTCAGTCAGTGGTGACAGCTAGAAAACAAATAACAAAGTCTTTATTTCAAAAACCTTAAAGGCTGCAAACATACTTCAATTTAAAAAAAAACTTTACAGACTGTTAATTGTTAACTTTTTTTAATGTATTTTATTGATTATGCTGTTATCCCATTTTCCCTTCACTGCCCTCCACCCTGAATACCCCATCCCACCCACATTTCCCCCCTTAGTTCATGTCTGTGTGTCATACACCTATGTTCTTTGGCTTCTACATTTCCCATACTATTCTTACCCTCCCCCTGTCTATTTTCTAAGTACCATCTACTTATTCTCTGTACCTTTTCCCCCTCTTCCCCCCCCCCCGCCACTACCCTGTTGTTAACCCTCCATGTGATCTCCATTTCTGTGGTTCTGTTCCTGTTCTAGTTGTTTGCTTAATTTGTTTTTGTTTTTTAGGTATGGCTATTAATCATTGTGAGTTTGCTCTCATTTTACTATACGTGTTTTTTATCTTCTTTTTCTTAGATAAGTCCCTTTAACATTTCATATAATAAGGGTTTGATGATGATGAACTCCTTTAACTTGACCTTATCTGAGAAGCACCTGATCTGCCCTTGCATTCTAAATGAAAGATCTGCTGGACTGAACAATCTTGGCTGTAGGTCCTTGCCTTTCATGACTTGGAATTCTTTCCAGCCCCTTCTTGCCTACAAGGTCTCTTTTGTTGAGAAATCAGCTGACAGTCTGATAGGCATTCCTTTGTAGGTAACTCACTCCTTCTGTCTTGCTGCTTTTAAGATTCCTTATCTTTAATCTTGGATAATGTAATTATGATGTGCCTTGGTGTGTCCCTCCTTGGGTCCAACTTCTTTGGGACTCTCTGAGCTTCCTGGACTTCTTGGAAGTCTATTTCTTTTGCCAGATTGAGGAAGTGCTCCTTTATTATTTGTTCAAATAAGTTTTCCACTTGTTGCTCTTCCTCTTCTCCTTCTGGTACCCCTATAATTTGGATATTGGAACGTTTAAAGATGTCCTGGAGGTTCCTAAGCCTCTCCTCACTTTTTTGAACTCTTGTTTCTTCATCCTTTTCTAATTGGATGTTTCTTTCTTCCTTTGGGTCCACACCATTGATTTCAGTCCTAGTTTCCATCCCATCACTATTGGTTCCCTGTGCATTTTGCTTCATTTCACTTAGTGTAGCCTTCATTTTTTCATCTAACTTGCCACCAAATTCAATCAATTCTGTGAGCATCCTGATCACCAGTGTTTTGAACTGTGATAGGTTGGCTACCTCTTCGTCACTTAGTTGTATTTTTTTCTGGAGCTTTGATCTGTTCTTTCATTTGGGCCACTTTTTTTTTTTTTTTTGTCTCAGTGTGCCTGTTACATAGTGAGAGGCAGAGCCTTAGGTACTGACCTGGGCAGGGTAAACCACATCACTGGGTTGTGACACTGTATGTGGGGAAGTGGTCCTAGAGGGAACAATGGTGCTTACTCTGCTCTCTGTGGGATTTCAGTCACTTCCCCTGCCTCCCACAAGCAAATTGGGCCCTTCTCATGCTGGTTCCCGGGTGAGTGGGCTTGTGTACATCCTAGGCCCCTGTGGGTCTCTCCAAGGAGCTCTCCTGTGAAGCTGGGAGTTTCTCCTGGCACCTCAACCCCCACAGGTGTTTTCAATTGGTGTTTTTGAGGCTTTATTTCCCCAAGCTGGGACTCTGGGTTGTGCGGTCTGTCTCGCTCCCCAGTTTCCCCTGGTTTATCTGCACGTGAATGTGGGATCCCCGGTCCACCAGCTGCCTTGTGGGCCGCGCCCCTCCACAATCTGCTCCCTTGCTGGGTCCACCAGCTGCGGCCTCAGCAGGTCTGCTAGCCTCTGCCTTGCCATGAGTCCTCTCCACCCCAGCTGCCCAACTCCACCCCTCCTACCGATCTGGATAAATGTGTCTTCTTTAACTCCTTGGTTGTCAAACTTCCATACAGTTCAATTTTCTGTCAGTTCTGGTTGTTTTTTGTTTTTAAATTGTCCTTCCTTTGGCTGTGCGAGGAGGCACAGGGTGTCTACCTACGCCTCCATCTTGGCTGGAAGTCCTAATTGTTAGCTTCTTTATCACACCAATAAATGTGTTTCCATAAACTCATATCACGTATGTGGTCACAAATTTAGGGAAGCAGAAAAAGTAGATTATCTGGCTATCTATATACAAAGTACTTTGATGTTTGAACTTCCAAAGAACTTGCAATTAAATTGAAGAAAGAAGACCAGGAAATCAAACAATTTAAGGACTGTAATTTAACAGAACCAAAGAAGTCATGTTTGCATGCCACATTGTAAAAGTTATTTTGATAAAGAAATATGAACAAAAATAAACTGGAAGTTTCCTCAGAAGTAGAAACTTGGGCTAAATTTTGAAGGATAATTAAGATACTTTGAGCTGCAAGTAACAGAAATACATTTCAAAATGGGTAAATGATAAGAAAATATTATCTTTGCAAAATAAATACAGAAGGGGCAGACTGCAGGGCTGGTTTATTCAGCAGCTTAGGAATATTAACTCTTTTTTCCACTTCATGGTTCTTATATCCTTGATGGTGGCTTTATCCTTGAGCTGACAGGAAATTAGATCTAGCAGTGCTGGGCATTACACCTATATAAAATGTTTAGAAGAAAAGTTTTCTCTTCCCAGGATGCTCTCAGCAGCGAGAAAACTCTTCCTCACTTCCCACTTCCAGACTTCTCCTCCTCACAAGTCATTTCAGTTAAAAACCCATTCCTGAATCAAGTTTAGTTAAAGGAAAATCCATTCCCCTTGCCAGTCAGGCACACACTGATGCTGAGGATAGTGCTGACTTTATATACCTCAGGCCTGAGGCTGTGAGGAATAGTGCACACCTCAAGAAAATCGGTACTCTGTAAGGCAGGAAGGAAGAACAGATGTGGAGAAAACAACCAGCAAACAGTATTCACAAAAGCAGGTAGGAGCAAAAGCAAAGGGAAAAAGGGGAGCTGAAGGGCACTGGTAAAGGATTTTCACACGGCACCAGCAAACAGGCTGGCTAAAACAAAGTATTATGTGGGGAAATAATAGGAGGTAGAACCTAAAGAGTCTCTCCAATAGTTGCAAATCTGCCTAAATATATACAGTAGTCCCAAGATAATGGATGCCTGAAACTAGAAATAGTTCTGAACCCTATATATGCTATGTTGTTTCCTATACATATATATCTATGATAAAGCTTAATTTGTAAATAAGACACAGTAAGAAATTAATAATAACCAATAATGCAATAGAAAAATTAATATACTATAATTAAAGTTATATGAATGTGGTCTATCTCAAAATACCTTATTGTAATTATACTCACTCCTTGCACTTAAAGGAAGCACTTTACAGCTTCTCTTTGGCATGTCCAAATTGCCAGCATCACTACTCTTGCATTAAGTGTTATAAAACAAGGGTGACTTGAACACAAGGATTGCCAGCTTGGGACAGCCAGTCTGACAACTGAGACAGCTAAAAAGGGATGAATAAGTGGGCAAGTAGCATGTAGAGCGTGGATACGCTGTGGCTTCCATCCCTGGGCAAAGTAGAATGGGACTGCTCAAGATTTCATCACATTAGTCAGAACAGCTTGAAATTTAAAATTTATGAATTGTTTATTTCTAGAATTTTCCACTTGATATTTTTGGACCACAGGTAACAAACTGGGGAAAGCAAAACTGTGGATAAGGGGACTACTTTAGGCCATCTCCACAGGCACTGCCAAATCTAGAAGACCCCACAGAACTACAGAATTAGAATCTCTAGGGCAGTGCTGTCCCACAGAACTGTCTGTGATGCTGGGAATATTCCATATCTGCCCTGTCCTATTCAGTAGATAACGAACTGAATTCTTCACTTTATTTAATTAATTTTAATTTATATAGCCACATTTGGCTATTGAATGGCCCAGTTAGTTTGGCTGATCAAGCCAACATTTGCCCGAAATTCGCATGGACTAAATGAAAAACAGTCATACACCTTACTGTAACTGAAATAGTTAAGGGAATTTCCCTGCACTATCTCAAAAACAGGAAAATAGTATTATTATGGCAAGACTTTGCTCTCACGAGTCCATGTTCTTCTTTCTGATCACTGTTCAAGAGATTTCAAACCATCTGTTTAATAAATCTTCAAAGAATTTTTCTACAAATTAACCAGTTTAAGATTTTTAGAAATTTTTCTTCTTGAGCACAAATGTTTTGCAGCATCAGTGAAATACCACATAACTTTCAATGCTTTTTTATTTTCTGTTTATTGCAATTTTTTGTTTTGGGGGTTGCTTTGCTATTTTTTATTTTAGTACAAGTTTAATCTTAGTGTGTTTGGTGGTCACTTTCATAATTTTTTAAACCTCATATACATATTTAAACCTCAAGGACTTAATACCAACTAAAAACATAAAATTAATATGTATTCCATTCTACCTCTGCTGTTCTTATCTCCCTATTTATAATTTAATATTATTAATTCAAATGCTCTTTTTGAATAATATCAATTCAAACATATTTTCTATCCTTCCAAATGAAAAACCTTGATAAATGTTATAGTCTTGATTTTGTTTATAGACAACTTTTTAAAATTTATTTTGTATTGATTTTAGAGAGGTGAAGGAAAAGAGAAACATAAATTTGTTGCTACACTTTTTAACGCATTCATTGGTTGATTTCTTGTATGTGCTCTGACCAGGAATCAAACAGCAATCTTGGCACATTGGGACAATTCTCTAACCAACTGAGCTACACGGCCAGGGCTAGATAACTTTCTGTTGTTTATGAACAAAACAGCATTTGCCTTAAGTATACTTATCCCTTTCTCATTCTTCATGTTCCCAAAATCATTTTAAATACCCTTTTGGCTATTTTAAACTTCAGAAGCCTCAGCTCACTCTGGTCTTTGGCTTCTTGACTAGTCTCATAGTTCTGTCCCTATCACCGATACACCTCTTTTTATACTCGAAATTCCTTTACAAGGTCTGCCTTGCATGTCCTTTAAACTGTAGGCTCACAGAACTATTCTTGGTTATACAAGTCTCTACAGATGCCATTCCCTTTTCTTCCATATTTCAATTGCAACAGTTTTCTCTGAACTTTCTACTACTACCTCATTTTTAAAGTAGTAACTACAAGACCCAGTTATCCAACATTTCCCAATTTGGCCAGCGCTGATTCTAAAATACGATCTCCTTTTTCAAACTTTATAACTATCATTAAGTCACCTTTCCTTGTTTGTCATTGCCTAATCCAACATGAAACTCCCTTAGCTTTCTACCTTTGATATAATTATTGCTCATTTTAGATACTTCTTTTTTTTTTTTAAAGATTTTGTTTATTTATCTTTAGAGGGGAAGGGGGAAGGAGAGAGGGAGAGAAATATCAATGTACGGTTGCCTTTTGCACACCCCTGCTGGGAAATGGCCTGCAACCCAGGCAATGTGCCCTGACTGGGAATCGAACCGTGATCCTGTGGTTCGCAGGCCCGCACTCAATCCACTGAGCTACACCAGCCAGGGCGATACTTCTTCTTTTAACTGAATGAAGAGCTTTACAGATATTCAGATGATTGAAATCCCCTATCACTATCTAACTATTTTTCTGGACCACTTTGTAATCTCAGTCAGAAATATACCATCTCTATACAGCTCTGAGACTTCCGCCAAGATGGAGGCATAGGTGGATACGCCGTGCTTTCTCACACAACCAAGTTTAGAGACAACTAAATATTAGCAACAAAAAACACAGCCAGAACACAGAAAATGGAACTTTTCGAAAGTCTGATAACAACAAATTCTTCAGCCTGACCGGTAAGAGGGGCGAAACCAGCAGCTGGAGGAGCGGGGTTGCACAGGAAAACTCGGTCAGACGGACTCAGGCGCACGGACTCCAGGCGCAGGGCAACCTGGTGGGCAACTCAGCGAGTGACCGCGGAGAAACAGCAAGGGAGCAGGGCTACAGGTTGACTATGGTCATGCATTTGTGCGTGGATAGACAAGCGAGGGAGTGGGCGAATGGACGAGAGCCAGCAGGCCCCAGTGGTGAGCGGCAGCGGAGGGTGCCGCCATTTCCCCACTCTGACCACACCTCCACATACAGCGTCATAACCCAGCGACCTGGGAGTCCAAGGTGCCGCTCCTCACACTTAAAGGGCCAGAACAGACCAAAAATGGCTCAAGAAGATCTCAAAGCCCCAGAGCCTATAAATCTAAGCAATGAAGAAATAGCAAAACTCTCAGATGCACAGTTTAAAACGCTGGTGATCAGGATCCTCACAGAACTGGTTGATTATAGCCACAAATTAGAGAAACATATGAAGGCGAAACTAATTGAAATGAATGGAAATGCACAGGAAACCAATAGCGATGAAAAGGAAAATGGGGCTCAAATCAATGGAGTGGACCAGAAGAAAGCAAATAATGGCCAAACAGAAAAGAGTCAAGAAGCAAGAATTCAAAGAAATGAGGAGAGTCTTAGGAACCTCCAGGACATCTTTAAACGCTCCAACATCCGAATTATAGGGGTACCAGAAGGGGGAAAGGAACAGCCACCAGTGGAAAACTTATTTGAACAAATAATAAAGGAGAATTTCCCCAATCTGGCAAAGGAAATAGACTTCCAGAAAATCCAGAAAGCTCAGAGAGTCCCAAAAAAGTTGGACCCAAGAAGGAACACACCAAGGCACATCATAATTACATTAGCCAAGATTAAAAGGAAGGAGAGAATCCTAGAAGCAGCAAGAGCTAAGAGGACAGTCACCTACAAAGGAGTCCCCATCAGACTGTCAGCAGATTTCTCAAAAGAGACCTTACAGGCAAGAAGGGGCTGGAAAGAGGTATTCCAAATCATGAAATCCAAAGACCTACAACCAAGATTGCTCTATCCAGCAAAACCTTCATTTAGAATGGAAGGGCAGATAAAGTGCTTCTCAGATAAGATCAAATTCAAGGAGTTCATCATCACCAAGCCCTTATTATATGAAATGTTAAAAGGACTTATCTAAGAAAAAGAAGTTAAAAAAACATGAACAGTGAAAGGACAGCAAACTCACAGTTATTAACCACACCTAAAACAAAAGCAAACTAAAAGGACAGCTAAAGCAAACTAAAGGATCAGGAGTGGAAACATAGAAAAGATCTCAAGGAGGGTTAGCAACAGGGAAGTGGGAGAAGGAGAAGGGGGGTGAAGGTACAGAAAATAAGTAGCATAGACAGTAGATAGAAAATAGATGGTGGGGAGCAAGAATACTATGGGAAATATAGAATCTAAAGAACTTGAGACACATGGTCATAAACTAAAGGGGGGGGTAATGGTGGGGATGGGGGGTAGGGTGGAGGGGAATGAAGGGGGGAATAGAACAACTGTAATGGCATAATCAATAAAATAAATAAATTAATTAAAAAAAAAGAAATATACCATCTCTTCATAGGATCAAGTGTGAAGAATTTTTAGGAAATATGCAGAATATCATTTTTCTACTCTTTGTTCACTCACCCAAATTTATTCTGTTCTTCAATAAATGTGTGGATTATTTGTGTGTGTGTATATAATGATATGTCAGGACCACACCTAATCTTTCTTCGATATGTCCTTAGAACAAGTATATGTGCTTCTACTGTCAGGCTCCAAACATACACAATAAAGAATATGTGATTTGAGTTGTACATATGAAAAGTTATATACATACTTTTTACATTCTATGTATTAGCATGTGATACCACCCTCACTGTTGTTTTTTTTCTTTTTAAATTTTTATTTATTGACTTTAGATAGAGGGAGGAAGGGGGAGGGGGAGAGACAGAGGGAGAGAGATTGGTTCATTATTCCACTCACTCATGCACTCACTGGCTGATTCTTGTATGTGCCCTGACAGGAGATGGAACCTGCAACTTTGGGGCATCGGGACAACGCTTCAACCAGCTGTGCTACCCACCCAGCCAGGGTCACCTTTACTGTTTTAAATTCCTATTCCTATTCCCTCTGTGCCCTTTTTAATTGCTTTTCCCTCCCTCTCTATTCATCTCCCCATGACATAACAGAAGCATCTAAGGTATAATTTTATCTTTTTAAATCAAGTATTATTTTCACTGGCAATATAAAGAATTCTTGATAAAACTGACCTGGGTAATCAACCTTTGAGATTTACTCTACCTACAAGCCCATATGTCCAGTATCTTACAACATAATTTAGTCCCGAGTTGGCAAATAAACACTGTGATACTGCCGCTAGTAGCATGCCCACAGCAGATAGGTTTTGTGCCACGCCGAGACGGCTACTTACTATAGCACTCTAAGCAGCTGTTATCAGTGAATTGACTGTAGTGGGCACCTGAGACAGAACATGTTGGCCATCTTTTGTCCAGATAATTAAGCACTACTCTATAATTCCGCCTACACATAGTCTATCTTTTCTTTCGAAAGCTCTTAACTTTGCCGTAATAGTAAATAAAAAAACACTACCAAATCCTTCAGTTGACTGTTCAAGATTTTAGTATCTAGGTCAGTAACTCACATTTCTCTTTTTTTACTGTGACATATGTCAAGAGTTTTATAAATCAGTGATAGAGGCTCACAATTGTAAGGAATTTTACACTAAGTGAGGAGAGGAGGATGGAGAATGGAGGGAGAGAGGAGGCCAGGCTTATCTAAGATCACCAAGCCAACTGAAGGAATAGGGAACTAAAAAAAATCACTGTTATAGATGCTTTCCAGATTTCTCAGTCTCACTAGTTCTTATGGAATCAACAGAGCTGGTAGATTTAAGAAGTATTACTTCCTTTTCTGCCATGACTACATAATCAAAAATAGTATACCTCCTCATCAACCACACCATGTCCACACGCTCATTTTAGAATAAAAGGAGATAATAAATTAAAAGGGAATCAAGAAAATCTCATTTCTATCATCAGTTCAAACTAACTGACAAACTTGAAAATGAAAGTTACTGAGGATTCATCTTTGAAAGCAACAATCAGAATAAAAACTTTAAAACTCAAATGTCAACGGAAAGCATTACCTCTAGGTCTGTTTGCTTTTGCAGTTCTTGTACTGTGGCCACAGTCTTACTGAAAGCAGCACAAATGCGGTTCTTAGTCTCTTTCTGCTCATCAGCGATGGACTTAATGCGTGCATGCAAAGTTTGATACCGAGACTTTATTGCTGACAATTCCTGTAAAAGGGTAACTGGATTTTTCTACAACAGGAAAAAAATTAAATATAGTAAATTGTGGAAATAAAAAACTAAGTTTCTTTAAAAATTGAAATACATACAATACATTCTACCATCCACTTAATCAAACACTGTATTTTATTATGCAATTGTGTGACAAAGATGGGGAAGGGGACAACAGAGGGAAGGAGAAGACCTAAATTCTAGTTGTAAGGATTTTAAAGCCGAGGTACAGAAGTACAGCACAGGGAATATAGTCAATAATATTGTAATAACTGTGCATGGTGTCAGGGGGTACTAGACTTATTGTAAATTATATAATCATCTAACCACTACATTGTACACCTGAAACTAATATAAAATAATACCAAATGTCAACTATAATTGAAAAATAAAAATAAAAAAATAATAAAGCCTATGTATAGAAATAGCCCAGAAAAAGCATTATTAAACAGCAAATAAGTTCACTTTAAATGCATAATATTTGATACATAGTTCACAACGGTTAATTACATAGTATTTCTAAAATACAATTCTAAAAGCTATTCGGAAGATGATTAAAGGACTATATTAATTTGTTGTTAAAGAATAAGACAACTTGAAACCACTTACAAAACTCTTAAGCATGACTGCCATGGGGCTAAAGTGTATATAAATGCCAATTCATTGACTTCACTATATAAAATTCATGCCAACTCAAGCAACTACATTTATATATTAAATTGGTTTTTCAAATTCTTTTGGAATATAACCACTATTCCATAAAAGACATTTCATTTTAACTGGGTCCTTTCTGCTACTTGATAATTCCTTTCATTCCCTAATAGTTCCTTAGCAAACCCTTCAAAACGAGCTATCCCAAACTTCCTCTACTCCATCAGTTTCCATCTACTCCTTCCTGCCTTAGGACCTTATCAGCTACTTTACTGAGAAGGCAGAAAACATCCAGTAAAAACTCCACCTTCCTGGCATTGGTTCCCAAAATGAAAACATCTATGGATGCTCTTATCCATATTCAACCCCCTAATACTACCACTGTTATTGTTGTTTCTTCTCATATTCTCCATAATCTTAACTTTCCTATTATTTCAATAACCTTTTCAATACCCTTTGAACAGACTTCAAATACATACGTCTTCCCAACACTGAGGGAAAAAATTAACTCCTTCTCTTGACTCTGTTGTCACTTCAAAACCAGTTTCATTTTTCTCACTCCACTTGCCACTAACCTTTGAGGTCCTATAATATAAATCCTCAGTTTAACATACCCACAGACTAGTATTCTTTGCCAAATTATTTTTTTGAAGATTTTATTAATTTATTTATCTTTAGAGGGGAAGGAGAGAGGGAGAGAAACATTAATGTATGGTTGCCCTTCATGCATCCCCTGCTGGGAACTGGCCTGCAGGGAAACCGGTCTGCAACCCAGGAATATGCCCTGACTGGGAATTGAACTATGATCCTCTGGTTCGCAGGCCTGTGCTCAATCCACTGAGCTACACCAGCCAGGCCTCAATAAAGCTTTTTTAAAACAAGTATAGAAGAGAAAAAAAACTGGAAGTGGAACAAAACTGAGAGATGGAAAGTGGAGGAAAAGTGGGAGCACCATATGAAATGCCTTTCACATAGTACTTGAAATACACTGACTCAGATCAGTCCTTTGGCCAGTCATTTGGTGGTACCACTAGACCAGAATTGGTTGGCTGTTCTTCAGAGAAAACAGGAGAAAAACAAAGTAAAAGCTAAGTTAGTTAAGGAGCTAGAATAGTCCTAGTAAGGAACTAGAATGTTCAGTAAAAACTAAACCTTCAAAATGCTTTACCAATTTTATACAAAATGTTATTTTAATTTGTACTTCAACTCAATCAAAAATTTTTAATTGTATAAATTTTTTAAAAAACTGTCAAATATGATATTTCTTGTCTTCTGGTAAGTGCTATCAAAAATAAACATTAATAATTCAAGTGGTAAGTAAATGTTAACAGACAATGTTAAAAACTGTTTGCTTTCATCCCTGGCTGGTGTGGCTCAATGGATTGAGTGCCAGCCTTATAAACCAAAGGGTCACCAATTTGATTCCGAGTCAGGGCACATGCCTGGGTTTTGGGCCAGGCCCCCAGTGGGGAGTGCATGAGAGGCAACCACACATTAATGTTTCTCTCCCTCTCTTTTCTCCCTCCCTTCCCCTCTCTTTAAAAATAAATAAAATCTTAAAAAAAAAACACACCACCTGTTTGCTTTCATCTCCATAGGCATGTGTACAAGTAGTTATTTCATATAAACAGAGAAAGTATTTCTAAATCAACCTAAGCTTAGAATAACTAAGTACATACATATACGTAAAAATCACAGTTCACATAACAAATGTAACAGTATATCATCATCTTCAGAGACTATCATTACTGCGTGGATCTCTTCCCTCTTACTTAAGGACTGCCCTACTGTAGTTAGCTATATTCTCTCAATGTCAGAGGCTTCCACAATGGTTCATGTCACCTGACTCCATAATTATTTTTAAGGGTTAAAAAAAAAGTAGCCACAATTTTCTTGACTATGGGTACAATATTATGTTCTAGTATCCTGTGACCAGGTTTCCAACATAAAAAAGATTTTAAGATTCTATAAATTTAGTACTTGACACTGTAATTGTTGTAATCACTATTACTAGAAATACTATCAGAAAATCTTTTAATATAATATTCTGTTAAGCCCTGGCTGGTGTAGCTCAGTGGATTGAGCGCGGGCCTGCGAACCAGACAATCGCGGTTCGATTCCCAGTCAGGGCACATGCCTGGGTTGCAGGCTGGTTCCCTGCAGGCCAGTTCCCAGCAGGGGATGCATGAAAGGCAACCATACATTGATGTTTCCCTCCCTCTCTCCTTCCCTTCCCCTCTAAAGATAAATAAATAAAATCTTTAAAAAAAAATTCTGTTAAAAAGACACTAATTTTGCAGATTACCTTGCCCACTGAATCAGGATGATTAGTCTTGATTTCATATTCCAGCCTGTATTGAATGTAATCCAGGTCAGAGTCAGCTTTCTGGAACTAAAAATCAGCACAAATCATTACTTTATGAACCAAAAGGCATATTAATAAATACAATATTGCAACCATTCTTTCTTTTCTCTTTATATTTTTTAGTATTTTACTAATGTGATATACAACTCATTTTGAAAAAAGGAAATAAAAACCTCCATGGTCTATAATATTGAGGTTCTATTAAAATTTGAAACATTGGTTAGCATTTTGAAATGCTAAAATCTGTTAGATTTTGTGCCAATATATAGATACCAAGATGCTACTGTCATACATTAATACAAGAACTAACAATGTCTTTGAGAATTCCTTAGGGTCACTGACACGCTCATCACTTAGGCAGTGGTTTTCTATCACTGGTATGTGGTTTCAAGTTAAAACACAGAACAAATTTCTTTTCAGGGATATTTAGTTTCCATTATCTGCAACCCCATTAACCACAAAAACTACAGAGATATGCCACACAGACCAAAATTAGAGAGCTTAGAGTCACAAATTATACAAGGGAAGCTACATACACCACAGAAATAACAGTCTGAATAACCCCAATTTATTGAACCAAGGTCCTAGCATGGAACCTTTATCTGCAAGGGAAAAAAGGGGAAATCTGCCACAGGCCTAAAATATACATGTGTGTACATATAGAAAAGTTGGAAAGGATATCGAACACAGTGTTAGAAGTAGCTTATGTCTGAATGCGGTTAATCTATAAGTTATTCTTCACTTTTGGAAACTGTGCATCTTTTACATGCATGATCTTAAAGCAGGGACTGCCTTGACTTTATCAAGGAAACATCTGAGTTTATTACAGAAGGCAAAAGATGATTTCCTCAGGGAAATTGCCTGTATTTGTAGACTACAGCCTAGGAGACTGCTCTGGGGAACGAGTTCAGACCTTACTATGAAGCTAAGGTCTGACCTTAAAATTGGTTCTTCACATTCTGAACCCTTAGTGGAAAGAATAAAAGCTTAAAAAAAAAACACCATCTTCTTCTAATATATTAAAATTTTCTTTCTTCTAATGTTACATTTTTGACATCTGGATGTCAGATTTTAATGTTTTATATGAAAACTAGTTTCTATTTCTTTTCTTCCTGAACAAAGACGGTTGTTGCTTCAGTTTCAGCTACATGGTTTCTGTAGCCTGCCCACTGCTCTTCTCAAACACCAAAACCCTACAAACAATGTTGCACCACTCAGAGCTATTTACACAGCAGAGACAGTATCAGTAGGATTCTAGGATCTGATGATAAATAGGAATTTTTTAAATATTTTATTTATTTATTCTTAGAGAGAGGGGAAGGGAAGGAGAAAGAGAGGGAGAGAAACATCAGTGTGTGGTTGCCTCTCATATGTCCCCCACTAGGGACCTGGCCTACAACCCAGACATGTACCCTGACTGGGAATTAAACCAGTGACTCTTTGCTTCACAGGCCCATGCTCAATCCACTGAGCTATACCAGCCAGGAAATTTCTTAGTTACAGGTAGGAAATTTACTGACCAATTATCATAGTCTCCAAAACTCATTAATGTCTAATTAAGGAACAAAGGGACAATGACAAGCTTCATTCACAGCCTTCCTCAGTTATAAATTAGCTTCTTAGAGACCTGTAAACAGTGAGGTTGCTGTTTAGTTAACTTTAGCTCTCTTATTTTTAGGAGCATTAGAATGTTATAAGTAAAACTAGAGAATTTTTTAAAGTCTGAGACATAAAGTCCAAGTTCATATTTCAGAAATCATTTTTCTTCAAAATCAGTAATAAAAGGAGAAAAGTTTTATACCAGTCCTAAGAGTAATAAATAAAGTATGCAATTTAGCTGGGAAAAGTGCATGGAAATCAATGTTAAATCCCTAAGGACAGTCAAATAACACTCTACTAATTTGACATCTTTGGAAGCAGACTGGGACTAGGAAAAGAAATAGTTTAGGAAATAACTTTGATTTTTAGAAAGCATACTACATATTTAATAAATGTATAATATTCTGTTATACTAATCTTTATTGTGACCAGTTAAAGACTTTAAGTAAATGACATGCTGTTTTACATACCACACAACTATTTGGCAACAAGAAAAAATATAATGACAGTCCAATTTAAAAACACCTCCTTTTTTACAAACAACCCATAGTTTCACTGCTACAGTAGTGTTGCCTTTCAAAAGGACTGGTGCTCTTAAAGCTCCCAACATCCTCTTGTGAGAGAGCTTGTCTCTATAGCATCAAACCACAGGAAAATTAGGGGGGAAAATATGATGGTCTTGTCTATAGTGAGAAGAGTTAGTAGAGGTATATTCTGGACTCAGCCAGGGTTAGAAATGTGTTTACCATAGAAACATTGTTTTAAGAGAGAATTAGGTATCTTAATACTCCTAGATGTAGGTTAGCTATATTACTAACCAAAGAATCTTAAAGCACCCATTCTTCTCTATCTCCAATGCAGATTAAAAATACCTTTATTAACTCACATTTTATTTTGTTCAAGGCTCCAGCCTACCACTGCAGAGAGTAGACCAATAAAATGGTAGTTAAGAAAACAAAGTATATAAAACAAAATGGAGTCATTTATGTTAATCGAGATGGCTGCCAGTCAGCCAGGACACTTTGGTTCAAGAGTGAAACTACCTAAGTCACACTAGACACATCTGGCAAGGAGACACACCTAAGATATCTGCACACATAATCAGAACAGCCCCATGTGCAGAGGGGGACCACTCACAGGCTCCTGGGGAAATTCTCCACTTGTCATTAAGGGAGCCAAACAGAACAGCCATGTCCCACCCACAGATAGGCTCCTGGGAAAATTCCCCACTTGCCATCAGGGGTGTCAAGACACCTATCAAGAGACCCAGAAGGGTGGAGCACACCACGTTCCAGGTGTAACTGAGGCAGGCTCCAGACCACTGCTAAGACAGCTGAGCTCCACACACTAGAGTGCTGCTCCATGCCACGCTGATCTCCCTTGGCATTGCTACCAGAGGCTCTGCCCTGCTGGGCCAAGGACTTGGTCTGCCCTGCTGCCCACCTGGTTCTGGAGATCCTTCCTTGCAAGACACTGAAAACTCCTTTGCCCACTGTGCTGTCTACCAGACCTGCAGACTGACACTGTGGGACTCGAGTTCATTATCCCCCATTGATTGTTCTGTGTGTTATATTCCTCTTAGATTGTTAGTGTGAGTAGGATATTAACGTATGTTGATGCTCTACTTTGAGTGAACTTGCATTCAATAAAAGCTGAGTGAATAGAATAGTTACTGTGTGTGACTCTTGTCCATTCCTTGATGCCAGGCTGCTCAGCAGGTGGCTAGCCAAGCAGTTGACCAGCTGACTTATAAGACTATATACCATGGACATACACTTGTGACAACCATTTCATGTAATATATTATAATCATTTATTTGCATGATACATCCACCAGTTGACTTCAAATTTCTTGCTGGCAAGAGCTTGATCTTTCATGTTTGTATCCCTAGTTTATATAATAAACAGCCTAATGCTCAATGATAAAAGGCAATACATAGACAAAAAGAACTTTCATCCATTTGAAACAACAAACAGCCAGGGAACCCAACCACCCTTAATGCCTGTTTTAAGAATAAATATTTTAAGTTCCCTACAAGTTGAAGGCCACTTCTAATATCTACACAATCACAATTGTTTTTGTATATTTCTGCTGGAGTGTTGACTATTATCCACTCTTTTCCAGATAGAATAAGTACACGTTTATGCTTGTCTTAACCAAATGGTCGATAATATGCACCCACACCAGGTTACAGGCATGTTGTTTCAGGCATATAGCAACATCAAAGCAGAACACAGTAGGCACAAGCTCCAGGTTCATCAGTTCCTAATTTGCAGGCATTTATGAAACAATTGTTAGGGTAGTGCACATGAGCTCCTGCCTGTAAGACTGGTTTTACTAGTTTAAGTAGTCTATTAAATTTTTTAAAAACTTTCAGGATCCTAAGTTATTTATGTTAATTGCGCTTTAGACACCTAATGGACTATAGGGACAGACTCTCAGAGCACAAGCCTGAGTTGCAAGCCAGGTCTCCAGTAGGGGGGATTCAGGAGGCAACCACACATTGATGTTTCTCCCCATCTTTCTCCCTCCTATCCCCTCTCTCTAAAAATAAATGAATTTTTTAAAAGATTTACAAAAAAATCTAAAATATACAGCATAGTCTTTTTATAAAAAGATTTTATTTATTATTTATTTTTAGAGAGGGAAAGGGAGGGAGAAAGAGAGAGAAACACCACCAATGTGTGAGAGAAACATTGATTGGTTGCATCTCACTTGTACCCCAACCAAGAGACAGGCATGAGACCAGGCGGCAATCCAGGCATGCGCCCCAGCCTGGAATCAAACCAGCAATCTTTCACTTTGCAGGACAGGATGATGCCCAACCAAGACACACCAGTCAGGGTTACAGCAGTCTTAATAGTCATGGAGTTGCAGGATCTCTTTTTTCTTTTTGCATCTGTCTTCTAATTAAATTATAATAAATATATACTGCATGCATAATGACTATCTAAAGTAATTTTTAAAAGATTATTTAGCCCTGGCTGGTGTAGCTCATTGGATTGAGCACGGGCCTGCGAACCAAAAGATTGCGGTTTGATTCCCAGTCAGGGCACATGCCTGGGTTGCAGGCCAGTTCTCAGCAGGGGCCAGTTCCCAGCAAGGAATGCATAAGAAGCAACCATATGTTGATATTTCTCTCCCTGTCTTCTTCCCTTCCTTTCTAAAGATAAATGAATAAAATTTTTAAAAGATATATTTATTTATATCTGGACAGAGGGGAAGGGATGGAGAAAGAGAGGAAGAGAAACATCAATGTGTGGTTGCTGCTCACTCATCCCTTACTGAGGACCTAGCCTGCAACCCAGCCATGAGCCTGGACTGGGAATTAAACTGCTGACTCTTTGGTTCCCAAGCTCATGCTCAACCCACTAAGTCACACCAGGCAGGGCTTAGAGCAATTTTTTAAAAGCATAAGTACATTCTCT